TGACCATGTCATCAGGGGGGGCTCCGTATAATTGAGCAATATATGAAAAAAAAGAACTATGAACTAGTTAATTTTTTGGAACTGTGAACTTAGTTCAAAATTTTGAATTATGAACTATGAACAGAACTAGTTCATTTTAAAATGTGTGAACTGAACTTTGAACTAGTTCACGTAGAAAGAGAACTTTCCCAACACTGACCGCAACACTACTTACGAGTAACCTAAGCAAAATGAATCAAATCAAAGAAGTGTCCTACCATGACTATGAAGCTGATCCCAGTGGGACATTAGTCCCTAACCATGTAGGGGCAGTGATATCCATGCCAGTCCAGGGACTGACTGCAGTTCTACTGTAAGGTGTCTTGGTCAAGGTCAATGACCGGCGCACCTGACACGTAACAACCAGACCATGCATATTGCTTAATGGTTTTAGACTATATTAATTGGACAGATACACTGTGCGATTTTTTGCCCTTTACGGGCCGATTCTCCAGTCGTGCTGACTTTCAGCCTCATTGTGCATCATGTAGTGTACAGGGGGATATGAGGGGCGATCAGCCGCTCACTACCACCTCCCGATCAGGAATCGTGAGGTCAGGAGAAAATCAAACATGTTTGAAATTCCGTCGGCCGTCGTGAGGTCGTATCAGAGCTTCGGGCCGCTCAGTGTGAGAACAAATATAGTGAGCTGTGAACTTTTAAACCCAACGATTGAAAATATTGACCGACATACCTGACATGGTACAACTATACCATGCATATTGCTTTAGGTTATAGACTATATTAATTAGGCTATGTATGCTTCCAAAAATATATTTAAAAAAAATTAAATCCCCCAACCCCTCCTTTTTTTTTTTACAACTAAACTACAGGCTAGAGAAATCATGTCCAGATGTTTCCTCCCTTTTATGCTGTTCATACTTTGAAAAACTGGATTTTCATACTTTCGTTCTTATTCTGCAGATCTAATAAAGATCAAAACGTTCAGATCTAATGGTTGATTGAGACTTTTATCACTTATTTAGATTGTCTGACTTCTTGCATATCTTGTTGCTCTTTAAATAAACCAGCAGAATTCATTCATTTTGGGGTTAATGGCAGATGAATTTTGTAGAGATCGCCCCTTTAATGTATCTCTTTTAGCTCTTAATCTCTCGTTTTCACCTGATTTCAGTTTGTCAATCACTGATTATCTGTATTTTAACACAGTCCCCGTTGGTTGATGTTGCAGCCTTCTGCCTTTAAATCAACGATGTGGTCAGACCCATAAATTAAGTCATCTACTAGATCTCACCCCAGAACCTGGTGCTGCAAATAGCGGTCCCATAGTCCCCGTGAATTCTGGCCACTGCTGCCCGCACCGCCCCCGCAACAGCTCGGTCATCCAGCTTCAGCAGATCCCTCCTGTCAGACACATTTATCTCACACAGCAAATACCTGCCGATATAAAACAGATTCAATCACAAATGAATCAAAAATACATTATATTAATCAGAAAACTCATATGTTTACTAAAAGCACGTGTCTACCTTGACTTCACCCGCACCATCGTTGCCTCTGTTTATTTCCGTGGGAACTTCCGTCAACAAAAACTTTACTCGCCTGTTTGAAGCTGCCACTCGGGCGCCCCCTTGTGGATTTTAATGGTTACTGACGGATGCTTTTGAGACCGACGGGGTAAAAAGGATTTCAATTTGGACAAAGCCTGGAAAGCTAACTGCGCAATAAAATATACGTAACGTTATTAAATTGTTATGTTTTAATTATAAAAAAAAAAAAAAAAATCGAATTTACAGTCGAAATAAAAAGGGAAGAGCAAAGCATCAAGCTATTCACACCCCTTTTGGTAACCATGGCAGCATCCTGAGCTCCCAACCAATCACAGCCTCGGGTTTCCATCTCCTCACGCTTAACGCCATCTTGAAGTTACAGTTTGTGAAGCGTCCCACAAAACAAAACGGCTCCTCGCTTGCGCTGCTTCCTTGGGTGATATGAACGGAGCCCGAAACAAACCGTCACAGGCAGCCGGTAAGAGCCACAAGGAGGCGGACACAGCGACGGAGAGCAACCGGGACAGGAAGGCCGCCGGCGGAGGAATGCTGAGGAAGCTGAAGTCGAGGCGCAGCCACACGGAGAAGTGGCCTCCGGTCACAGAGGATGAGCTCCGGGCTTTGGGGACCGATATTTCCCCGGACCAGGTTCTGGGTCTGCGGGTGGTCACGGAAGGTATCTAATGTCCCCGAAACTCCTGCTTGTTGTTCGGTTTGATAACGGAAACTAAAGACGATGTGTTAATTAAACCCTGTTATATGAACAATATATTCTATTGTTTAGGGGAAATCTGCTGTTTATACAAACATTTCAAACTCCAGAAAAATATTCCATGCTCGGTACCATTTTAGATACAACTGTGACAAAAAAAAAAAAGAGAGAGAGAGAAATTATTAAAGGCATGAAAAAAAAAATAACTTTGAAAAATTACCTTTCAAAAAATCTCGCCATGAAACATGTTTCTCAACAGAATCCCAGATTCTAGTTAAGTAAGTGTGCAAACCAGGAAGTCTAAAATGAATAAAATAAAATAAAAATATATGCTAAAAATACTTTTTTTTTTCCAGAATCGGTGCCAAATTAGGATTTGATCCAGTTTAAATAACAATTAATTTAAACATCCTGCTTACAAATGAATACAAATGGGATTTGGGGTTTAAAAATAACTTTTTGTTTTGCATCATATTCCCACAGCATCATAGATCCTTCACCAAACTTTAGACTGCAAGTGTTTAAACAAATATTCATCAATTCGATACAGATTCTGCAACAGCTTTTTCTCCACCACCATCAGACAGCTGAACTGTTTAAAAAACTCTGAATCATGTCACAGACTCTGCATCAGACTGACAACACAAACCAAAACACTGCATAATTGCACCATATATATATTGGTTCTCTGAACTTCCCTGTTAATACGGTTTTTTGCACCATGTTTTTTCTCCCACACTATATACATCTGATCACTGCTGCACCTTAAGAAACGGAAATGTCATAAAAGCTCTACAACACTAAAAGTTGTCAAAGTCAATTATTTGTGAGGCTGGGTATTTTCGCCATAGTCCTTAATTGATTCGATTTTGATTCATACAGCTCTAAATTGATTAATTTCCATTCAATCTGTTTTTACAATATTAAAAGTGGTTCAACTGTGTTTCAAAACACTCATGTATTTTATTTTTTCCCTGTTATATTTAAAACAAAGTGCAAACTTGTAAATCGGACAGTTTAAACTTGAGATGTGAACAAAACTGTCTCAAAAGTGCAAACTTTTTTGTGAAAACAAACTTTTTTGGTTTAAAATCATCAGTGTTTGTTACGGGAATAAAGCAATGAGAACATTTTCTGATTTTTAATAATCCTTTTTTAATATTTATCCTATAAAATATTTGTCTAGTTGGTCTTTTTTTTATTTTATTTTTGTTTGAACTTTGTTTCTGCTGTATTGTTTGTATTAAATTATAGTTACAGCCAGTTCTTTAGTTAGATGCATCATTTGAATGCATATAAATGAGTGTTTAGAGTTAGACATTCTTCTGCCAATGTTTAGTTGAATTAAAGTGACAAAGCGACGGTTTGAGGCTCATGACTCGTCATAAAAACACTCCAAGTTCCAGTAAAGCCTTCAGTTAGTCAGCGAAGCCTATTGGACTTTTTTTGTTCTTGTTGTTGGGGAGTTTTTCCAGACACCACAATAGTTGCTTTTCGTCTTTTGGGAGGATTCTCTTTCCTGCAGAAAAAAAAAAAAAACAAAAAACTCAGGTTTTCTCTGCTGAGTTTCTAATCCTGCTTCTATCTACTGTTTCAGATTATCTTTGCAGACCTGAGGATAACATCTACAACATCGACTTCACACGCTTTAAAATCAGAGACCTGGAGACGGGGACGGTCCTCTTTGAGATAGCCAAGCCTCCTAACAGCGGTGGGTGATGCATGCAGGTCACTGAGGGGCGTTCAGTCAGAGACACTGATGCTTTTCTGATGAATCTTTGATTCACAAGTTCGACAAACATGAGAAGAAGATTAAGTTTAATGTGATAGAAAGTGAAATAAGTTGAAGTGAACTGACCAGTTGAGGTCCTGTTTCATAATGGTGGTATGCAGCAGGTTCACTCCTAAGGCGTTCCGATCCCTTCAGTGAACCGTTTCTCTGCCTCAGGTCATGCAGAGAAAGAGGAGGACAGCGTGGACGGAGACTCCAGCGCGGGACGCTTCGTCCGATACCAGTTCACACCAGCCTTCCTCAAGCTTCGCACCGTCGGGGCGACGTAAGTTTTCCCAAGTCCGTCGTCCCTCTGATCCTTCCCTCTGTCCTTCCCTCTGATCCTTCTTTAACCGCAGCGTTGAGTTCACCGTGGGGGACCGGCCCATCAACAGCTTCCGGATGATCGAGAGGCATTACTTCCAAGGTCGGCTCCTGAAGAACTTCGACTTTGACTTCGGCTTCTGCATACCCAACAGCCGCAACACGTGCGAACACATCTACGAGTTCCCTCAGCTTCCCGAAGACCTGAGTGAGTTTCTGACGGTTCAAAGGATCGGGCTCGCCGCTCTGATCCACACTGACCCTCTTGTCTGATTCCTTCCAGTTCGCCAAATGGTGGAGCATCCCTACGAGACCAAATCCGACAGCTTCTACTTTGTGGACAACAAGCTGATCATGCACAACAAGGCAGACTACGCCTACAACGGGGGGCTTTAAGGCCCCAACGAAGGAACGGGTCCAGGAAGTATTTTTATTGCTAGAAAGCAGACACCTTAATAAAGACCACCTCTGCCTTACGACGAGATCATGGTTCCTTCTTAAAGTACCTCAGAGAAGCTCCGCTTCACGGACTGCGAACAGTTCTGATTTCCGATGGGTTCCGACTCGTCCCCGTTTGAACGATTCACCGCCGTCTCTGCTGGAAGGGGACGCCTCCGCTCACTGATTTACTCTTTTTTTTTTTTTTAAACAATTGGATTTCCTGAGTGGAAAAGCAAACTGGATGTTTTCCAGACATTTTAATTCAAACGTTAGATGAACGCTGAGCTGTGTGGACCTTAAATACGATGCCTTATCGGAGCCGTTTGTGTCTGATAAGACCGTTTTTTTTGTTGTTTTTTTTCTTTCTGACTCACAGTAGACGATTTCCTTCAGTTTAGAAAAAGCAGGACCATCTCATCATCACAGATCTCCATCTGTCTAAACTGTGGTGGGAAGTTTGCTGTTTGATCAAATCTAGAAGGAATGAAGGTTAAATTGCGAAAGATTAGGTTTATTAACATTTTCACAGCGTTGGCATCGATATGTTTAGTTTGCTTTGTTTAGATTCAACCTGTAGATGTGATTCTACCTGTTTAGTTCATGAAATCTGTCTTCTGGATTTATTAGTAACTTCTAATTTAATAAAACCTACAGGGTCACCTTACTTTATACTCAGCAACCAGGTGCACACTTCTACCAAATGGTGCTTTAAAGAGCCCATTTATCCCTACAGGGATGTTTCCTGACCCTTACAGGAAGCTGGAGTACCCAGAGGGAACCCTCAAAGGCATTGGAGACCTTTTAATGTGTGTGTTTAAAAAATGCAGTGCTTTCTACTTCCATGTAGTTCAGCGGTTTGGTTTAAACTCCTTCCCAGCGGCTGCCTCATTTCTCCTCTCTTTGTTGTTTACTGTGACTATGTGGAGTTTCAATGTACGGGAAGGAGGCCTTTTCAAATCAAAGGTGCCTAAAAAAAATATAAATAAAAATCATGGAAAGTAATAACAACGCACGGAGCAGGAATGTGCCTTAAAATCTGATGCTACATGTTTTTAAACCCCTAGGAGATTATAATGGAGGCCATTAATGGCTTCGATCGGTGGGATTTCAGTCGTATGTTTGAACAATTTCATTCTAGTGTTTGTTTCTGATGTTTGTCGTTTTAAATGTTTCTACAGAGCAGAGCTACTCTGGCTGCTGCAGACGTCTGAGATGTTTTTGTTTTGCTCTAATGCCTTGATAAGCACATAAACGCTCTTTGTTTGACCGTTTTCCTGTAAGCTGTTGTATAATATCCCATTTTTTTATTTGATTAGGATATTAATAAATAAAAAGAAGCGATTGTTGGACAAATTCCCACCCTGCTGTTCATAGTTTGAATTCATCGTTCCTAAACTCTGGTTCTGTTTAGATGAAGTTTCTCAGCAGTTCAAAGATGCATCTTTATGGTTAAGAAAGAAATGTAAAGTTTATTTAGAAGGTGAAATTTTTATTTATTACAAAAATGTTATAATTGAATCATTCAAGGATTATCTTACAGCAAATAAACTAGAAAATAAAATTCCCTGCAACTGAAAAAACAAAAAGTATTTTCTGTTCAGAAAGTTCCGTTCTATGTTCCTTCCCACAGACGCCCTAAAAACGATTTTACGTTAGTCCAGGAAAACTAACAAACAAGTTAGTTACTAATACTATACTAATAAAGCTCAATTCAGTACAAAGATGATTAGTGGTGCTTTAGATAGATTAAAACATTGAAATAGAAAAAAATTAAGCAAGTAAAGATTAAAAACACAACAAAAGCAGGTAGTAAAATAAAACTATTGAACCACAACCTCAACCTGAAACTTATAATACCTCAGCTAACGGTTTAACAGCCAAAGGCAGCTCTAAATGAATAGGAAGAACTCAAGCTTTCTGCTCTTTTCCAGTCTTCTGGGAGTTTGTTTCAGATCAGTTGAGCTTAAGAATTAAATGCTGCTTCTCCATGTTTGGTTCTAGTTCTGGGTGAACAGCGTAGGTTTGTTGTAAATCTCAGTGATGAAGCTGTGCTGAGGTAATAAAAAAGTTCCGGTTTTCTTAACCTGCATTCATTTAACGCCGACCCAAGAAACTAAATTACTCCAAAAACTATTTATGTTCCTGCTTTAATTTAGAGAAAATATGTTTGACTTTACTATTAAATTCAGTGAGGTGACAAAGTCGACTTTATTTGGTCAAAGAGTGCAAAAAAAAATTACATGATAATAGCATGCAACTGTTGTTCTGTACAAATGCTGTATATGCAATGGCTAATTAGCAAACCCAGCACTTAGTTTCATTGTCCTTGTTAGCATGTTTTGCCAAACAGGTTAAATGGTATGCATTTCTCTTTATTTTGCACTTTCAAGCTTTAGCAATATGTTCTTTAAGGATTTAATGATTCAATAAAATCCAGTCAAACACCAGCCGAATGGCAGCCCACTTCCCTCCAACTTCCAGCCACTGCAGTGACCCCCTCTTGCATAGTTTTTACTCTCCACCCTTTCACTGAATTACAGGGTCTGACCAGGAGATGATGCTTCTCTTTAGACCTTAATGTCCACAAATCATGACAAAATATTTTAGCACAAATATTGACTTTTTTTAATTTTTTTTAAAGAAGGAATTGTAGGGGACCAGCCAAGGTCCCATCAAGGATAGCGAGGAAATTTTGACTGGCTGCTACCGTAATAAACAGCATTTACTGCCACTTTATGCTTTATATAAAGCAGAGGTCACGAATTACCGGACCTCGGTCCGGATCCAGACCCACCTGCTGGCTAATCTGGACCCAACCTGATTTAAAACATTTATAAATTACCGCATGTTGTCCAACGATAGTGTCTAATTTCACTTTATTTCAGTTTAAAATTCTGTTTAAAGTAACAGATTATAATTAAATTATGTTTAAAGTAACGGATTATAATTAAAAATGCCTCCAGACCTTTACTGGTTGATGATTTTCTTTATTCGGATCCTGCTGGTTTTTAATTGGTTACCCCTGATATAAAGTTTCTCATGTTGGATTTTCAATCATCATTTTCAATCATCACTTTAGATAATGTTTTCTGTTATTCCCACTTAAAACCTGGAAATTTAAGATAAATAAAAAACTGAAATGCGGTTTTGATAGAATCAACAGCTCAAATGACACTAATAACATTTGTTTTTACTGTCTTTATTTAATGATAAAATGCAATAAAAAAAATCTTAAAATGTCCAAATGATGTATTTGGACCTAATACTAACATACAAAATGTTAAAGTATGAAAACAAAAGAAAACTAATGAATTAAAAACAGTTAGGGCGGCGTCCAATGAGATAAAGGACTACATTACCCAGAATCCTCGGTTGAAAACAGAGCGAAAGAAGCAGCACGTGGTTTGAAGATGGCGTCTGGCGCTGGAAGGATGGTGAGAGTTTCCAGTGAGTCCAGCAGCAGCGACGATGAGGAGCTTAAAAGATGCAGGGAGGCTGTTTGGGACCAGAACCAGAATAACAAGACTAAAGGTGAAGGTTTTAGTTTAAGCTGCAGCGAATAAATCTACATGCGGCAGATCTTTGATTAAAACACATCAGTCTGTGTTCTAAATTAAAGTTAGTCTCACTTTAAATGATGCATGTTTGTCTGTTTTCAGATGTGGATGGAGTTAAACTCGAGTCAAAGCGGTGAGTTTTAGATTCACACATTTTACAGAAATTAAACCTCATAGAAATAGATTGTCTAGATCTGGGCTTCAAGTTAAAGAAGGAAAGTCTGAGAGTAAATTTTTACAGCTGGGTGAAGGAGGGAGTTTTAATCTGAGATGCTCTGATCAGACATTTCAGTCATTTATCATTTTAAACCTTAATTTCTTTTGTTGTTGTTGTTTTTGTCAGACAGATACAGAAAAGCACCAATTATCTAGTTACAGTAACATTGATCAGAACAACATACTGTGAGCACTTATCAGCAACTGTCCAGCTTTTTCTTTTTTTTGTCTTCCCTACACAAATAACATAAAACAAGGCAACAATAATAATAATTAAAAAAAAAAGCAGTACAGCAACAATGTAGATAACAAACCTACGGAAAAGGATTAGGGCCACTAAAAAAAAAAAAAAGTTAACTTATTTTTTTATTTTATTTTAGATTAGTATGGGGAAAAAAGTCAGAATTCTGACTTTAATCTCAGAATTCTGACAGCTAACAAACATGTTAGCATCAAGCCATAGCCATGTCTGTTTTAGAGACTAGCTCTCTTGTTTTAATGACCTTCTGCTCCTCCATTAATGAGGGGACGCCTCGGGCACGTAAAAAGTTTCCTAATTCCATCATTTTCCACCAATGGCCACCTCAAACAACTCAAATCTTTGTCAGTGAAGCTGAGTGCTCCACATCTTTTCCTTTATGGCGCCCATCTACATTAATTGAATTCTGACTTTTTTCCCATACTAAACTGAAATAAAATTTTAAAATCAGTTAACTTTTTTTTCCAGTGGCCCTAATCCTCTTCCATGCAAACCAGACCTACAATATATAACATAAATCACAAAACAAGACATCACACCCTAGAAAGTCTATTATAGCAATCCTGTTCCTGTATCTAATAAAATATAAGGAGACACATTTACATGTCCAGCAGTTGAGCCAGGAATGGGCCGAACACCTGATTGAATGTGTCTTCCCTCCCAGCCACCCTATAGGTGACCCATTAGTAGCCGGCCATTGAACTTAGAACCTGCATCCACTCCTTAAACCTGGACTGAGTGGGAGATTTCCAGTGGCGTAATCCTGCACCCTGTTGTCATAGATAAACAGCACCAAGATTTCTGATGTTTTGACATTTTAATGTTATCTGGAAGTAATCCTAACAGGCATAATGCAGGGTTTCTGACCAACAACTTATTCACAAACAAAATAATCACATTCCACATGTCTTTAGTTTTATCACACTCATATAACATATGCAGAGTTCCAACCTTTCCATTACATCTCCCACATAATCAGTGTTTCTGAGTTTCAGTCTTGCCAGTTTGGAAGAGGTCCAGTAGGATCTATTTAATATCTTATAAAAAATTAGTTGAGGTTGTGCTTCAGTGCCATGATGAACATTATTTAATCCGATCATTTCCTGGAATCTTTAGACCTAGATCCCTATCGTTTAACCTTAATTTCTAAATACCCGAGCACACAATCTTACAAATTACAAGATAGTTTTTCCTGAAAAATAATAATAAAAATAAAATCCAAGAAAGAATATTTATTGAAAGATCAAATGAGAGATTAAGAGGAGATATAATGCATTTATTGTTATAAAAGAACTGAGGATATTACAAATGTTTTCTGCATAATTAATAATGTATTTTAAATCAACTGTCATGAGATGCTAAAGTGAAATGAGATTAGGGATTAGATGTTTTGATAAAAACTAAATGAGCAACTGAAAATAATTTGTGAAATATGATCAATATTTAACTGCATGCTGAGACACTGTCTGTGATTTTCTAAAGGTTCTGTGTATAACACACAACTTTCTGTCATTTACAGTAATTACTTAAAAAAAAATATATATATATATATATATAGTTTTAAAAATGGGAGAGGATGTAGTTTGGTAGTAACAAAATAATTTCAATGACAGTTAATGTCTGTTTAACAGGAAACCTAATTAAATATGTCAACAGTTAGATGCAACATGGTTCACTGTATTACCGTATTTTCACGACCATAAGGCGCACCGTACTAAAAGGCGCAGTCTCAGTTATGTGTGCCATTTCTGTATTTAACACACACATAAGGCACACCGGACTATAGTGCGCGGGTTTTATATACAGGTGCATGTCCTCTACTACGTTTAAATACCTCTACTGCGTATTTAAAAATAGAGCGGGAGCAAAACTGAGTATGATTGTGCTTTATTCATGTATTTATTACAAAGTATTAATCAAACCCATCAAAGTCATCATCCTCTGTTTCTGAATTAAACAGCTGCGCTAAATCAGACATGCCAATTTCCCCTTCTTCGCTGTCAGAGTCACTTTCCGTGCCGCGCGGCTCCTCGGAAATGATGCCGGCTTTTGCGAAAGCTCGAACAACAGAGCCAGCAGACACATTAGTCCAAGCATCTACAATCCATCCGTAAACTGTGGCGTAACTTGTCCGGCGCTGCCTTCCACTTTTCATGAAACTGTGGTCTCCATCTGTCATCCATCGCTCCCACGCCGCTCGCAGCCTTACTTTGAACGGCCGCTTCACACCGATGTAGAGCGGTTGAAGTTCCTTTGCTGCATCTTCTTCACCTGTCAGATTCATTAATCTTGAATTCTCTCGTGGCTGCTCGATTTAGGGTAGCTGATGGCCTTCAGTTTAAACTGTGCTTCATAGGCGTGTCTCTTTGCCATTTTCAGGGTTGTTAAGACAACAATGTTCTGCATAAAGCACATACCTGTTCTTTTATACACAATCATCACCCACACTTCCCCCTTTAACGTTCTCATGGCGGTCTAATCAACGTCCGCAGTAACAACACACATAGGGCGCACCGCACTATATAAAAGACGTTTATATGCGCCTTATAGTCGTGAAAATACGGTAAATAAACATTCTCTGCACCACGTCTCACAGACACAGATACCTTTTAACACTCAGTTTTCCTTCACTTAGCAAAGACTCTTCCAGAATAGTCAGTGTTTCTATTAATGCAAAGTGTTGGGACTTAAAAAACAAACAAACCGGGGACTTAAGTCTCTGACCTGACAATGACGGGTAAAACATAACCCATCGCACCCCCACCATGGACTGTTCTCCCTGCTGCCCGATGCAGGTCCAGCAGATTCCAGAACAGTTTCTTTCCCACCGCCGTTAGACAGCTGAATGTTGTATAAAATGTAAAAAAAACAACAACAAACATTTTATACAACATAAAAAAATATATATATCTTCTTACCTTTATCACGGCTGCAGTAAAAAAAAAAAAAAATGTCTTGAGAGCTGTACTGAACGAAATTTCTTTTTTTATACACTCTGTGTACAAAATGACAACAAAGTCTCGCTAATTAACTTCATGCTGCCTTTTGGAAACACATTCAAACTAATTTTGACTGTGAAATAAACAAAACAAAAAAAAATCAACATTTATTACCTCAGCCCCCTAATTAGCAAAAAAAGGAACAGTGAGTAAATGCTGTTATCTAACAGTGTTGTCGTTGCGGAGCATGACCACGATGGAAACGAGCTCCAGGTCACCCAGGGGTTTCGGACACATGTGGCTAAAAAGTTGGAGCATCTTCTGGACAGGTAGAGAAAAACCTGAACCCTCAGATCACCATGACAGTTTCTCCTAATATGAATCAGCGTTTCTTTTCCTTCAGCTTCATCTCAGAAACTCAACCTGCAGCCTTGAAAGGTCTGCAGTCCCAATCTGATGATGAGGATGATGAAGGTAGATATCTAGGATTATATTTAAGCAGATTTGGTGCCACGGAAACCTGCTCCACTCCGTCTAATCATCTGCTTCTTTCCGTTCAGGATTTCGTCTGTTTTCCACGTCGGTTCCAGGACAGGAAGCTGCTAAGCCTTCATCACCTCCCAGATGTCGTCCTCCTCTCAGCTCAAGGTTTTTAGATTTTTCCTCCATTTTTTAAAAACATTAAGTTGTAGAAATGTTTCCCTTTAACACAAAGTTCTGCGTTTCTTTGCTGTTTGCAGCGACAGCGACAGTGAGATGGAGACACGGCTGAAAGAAGCAGCGGTGTCCATCACTGACCTGTTACCTCCTGCAACACACTCCTCTTCCTCTGCAGAGCCTCCTGCCTCAGAGGTCAGAGCAAAAAAGAAAAGAGTAGAAGAAGAGCATCGTGTCAAGAAGAAGAAGAAACAGAACAAGGAAGAGGAAAAGCAGGAGGACTCTGAATGCTCTGCTCTTTATCAAAGCAGCGGCGAGCAGGAACGCCCTGCAGGCGACGTCAGACGGAAAAAGAAGAAGAAGCATAAAAAAAATACAGAAGAAGAATCTCCGAGCTAATTTTTTATTCTACCGTTTACTGATTTTGTGCTTTATGTTGAGGCGAAAATAACTCAGACACCCGCTTGTTTATGAAACATCTTTACATCCATTGTTCAAGGTTATATATAAAAAATCCTCATGGAAAGTGAAAAAAAAGCATTTAAAGAAGCAAATTAAAAACAATGTCGGTAACTTTCCGTCGCCAAAGTTAGAATTTCTGAGAACAGCAAAATATTTGAATAAATACATGTTGATGTTGATCTGAATTCAGCAGTTTTTAGCATTTGAATTTTCTCTCATATATCAGTTCTTGGTACCATTAGGAGCTGAGTCTTCCTCTCAGACATCACAGGTTCTGGTTCTCCTGGACCTTCTGAGTCCAGCTCTATGGCAGATGATGCCGCTAAGGGCTTACTGGGCTGTGGACACCATCTGCGTGGGCATGTAGGAGCTGATGTCTGTTGGCGAAGGTGAGAGGAGGTGAGACTGATGGCGCTCTGTCGTCTGGGAGGAAGGGTACAACTCCAGGCTCTCAGAGGAAGCTGTTTATGAAAGAAGAGTGATTTTAGAAAATAAAAGCTTGGACATTTCATGGTTTGAATGTTTGATTGATTTAGGATTTGGGTTGTAAACAAATAATATAACTAATTTTCCCTGGAAGATTCAGATTTAAAATATTTGTATCTACCAAAGAGGTTTGTTTCTGAAAAAAAAAAAACCTATAGAAGCTCATTAAACGATAGAGGGGCTTTAATTTAGAAAAAAAAAATTCTTTATTACAACTTACTAAAAAAAAAAGCCATGTTAAACATGACTTCTACCTGAATCAATGTTTAATGAAAAGTAATATAATAAATAATTTAATGTTATCCAATGTGATCTCACATTGCAGAAATTTATTTCTGCATTTAACCCATCCCCTTGGCAGCAGAGGGCTGCCTTTGTGTGGCGCCCGGGGAGCAGAGTGGGGTAAAGGGTCTTTGCTCAGGGACCCAGACTGCCACTTCCCTGCATCAAAGAGGATTTCTGCACATTTTTAAAAACAGAATTTAAAAACAACAGATGTTGTCTATAAGGGTCTTGCTCAGGGTCCCAGAGTCCAGGTTGTGGGGATCGAACCGGGTACTTGCACTCTTCTCAGAGCACAAGTGCACTGCTCTAACCACTACGCCGACATTTCCCTGTGAAGCTAAAAATGCTGTTTAGCTTAAAAAAATTACTGAGCAGCCTTTAAAATGGTCTTCCTGGTTCTTGGATGATATTTCTTTAGTGATGAGCTCCAAATCTTAGAGGTTAGAATGTCTCTTTGCCATCACTCTAATACTCTGTGCAGCTGCAAAATGTCAATAATACTTCCAGTTAGAGGAACTGCTTTGGTTAAATCAATAAATTACTTTAAGTATAAATAAATGCATAGAGTATTATTTCAAGTTTTTAGCAATTAAATGTCTATAAACTATTATTTATAAAAACAGAATAAACAGAACCGGAGTAAAGATAAAGAAATGATCCACAGGGTTCAAAAGTGAAAGTTACTTCAAACAAAATGGATTTTATTTACTGATTGCTTATTGGCCCAGAGCATGTAGGCGTGCTCTAACTCAGTGCCAAGTAGGAAAAATACAGGCCATAAACTCATAAAGACGTTTGTTTCTACTGATGTCATCTGGGAGGAATCTTTAGACGGTTTTCAAACAGCAAAAGTTAAATTTCTACACCAGTTAAATCCCTCTTCAGTGCCATTAGCCCCGTTCTACTCCCATTTCACACCCCTATATCAGCCATTATGCATCAGTTCTATATGCTGTAATAGAAAACTGACGGGTAAATGTCTCTAAATTGTTAGGAAACCACCTCCGGGTAGTTAGGAAGACATGCTTGTCTATACAAAGACCTGTACTACTAAAATCATAATATAAAGATTCAACATTTTTTAGTTGAGAATTGTTCAGGTTATTTTGCAAAAAAAATAGAGATCAACAGACTAATAAATGTGAAAGTGTTAGATAGTGGGCTGAGCAGTGGGTAGCACTGGTGCTTTGCAGCAAGAAGGGTCAGGGTTCAATTCCCGGCCCAGGTTCTTTCTGCATGGAGTTTGCATGTTCTCCCTGAGCATGTGTGGGTTCTCTCCAGGTACCCCGGCTTCCTCCCACAGTCCAAAAACATGACTGTTAGGTTCATTGGTTTCTCTAAATTCTCCTTAGGTGTGAGTGTCTGAATGATTGTTTGTCTCTTTGTTGCCCTGTGAGGGACTGGCGACCTGTCCAGGGTGGACCCCGCCTCATGCCTGTAGACAGCTGGAGATAGACACAAGCACCCCTTGCGACCCCAGCTGGGATTAAGCGTGACAGAAAATGGAAATGGGTGGTGTTTGATAGTACAGTTAGAATTGGACTCAACAGGAATAACTTTTTTGGAGATGGTGGTATTAGAGAGAGTCTTTTATTTTTATAGAACACTTCAGAATTAACCGGAAGACTTTGTGAACAATGTCTGTTAGATGGATGGACCAAATTAAAGCACAGAGCCCCTTGCTAAGAGGAAATCCAGATTTGCATGAAACACCCTAAACAAGTTGACCTGTACTCCTCTGAAGATCAAACCTTCTTTATGTTCCAATAGGGTTAACTGTCAGATTGCTACACTGCAAAGAAATTCTAGATATAAAAAAATATCTTAAACTAGGTTTATTAGCCCTCAATTTGAGTAGGTAAATAACTGTAAAGTGCCTTGAGATGACGTGTTGTGTATTAGCGCTATATAAACTGAAATGAACTTGAAATAAGACAACAGTTATTTTTTTATCATTTTAAATGAAAATTTTCTTTTCCATTTTCAAAGTGTCTCACTTACCTCCTCAATTCAAGAATAAAATGCACTTATTTTAAGAAAAAACTGCAGTGTAACGCCTGGCAGAAATAGGGTCAAACTGCAAAAAAATATAAATCTAAGTCATTTTTTTCTTAAAATAAAAACTTCTTTTTTCTTTAATTGAGGGGGAAAGGGAGATACTTTGCCAAATGGAATAAGACAATTTACATTTGAAATTAGACAAAACAGTTGCATTGTTTTGTTCAGGTGCATATCTAATTATTTTATTTTAAGAATAAAAATACTCATTCCATTGGTAGATCATCTTATTTACCTGCTTAGATTAAGGATGAATACATTTGATTTAAGACATTTTTACTAACATAGTTAGTAAAAATGTTCCACCATATCCCACCATTGACGGGGTGAAATGTGGTAGCTAGACCTTTATTCAGCTCAAGACTGATCCTAAAGGTCATCACACCTTTGATCTCATATAGTTCCTTTGAGTCCCAGAAGTTTTCATCACAGCTAATTTGGACAATCCTTTGTTGGTGGGCTGTTCATATCAGTACTTAGTTCTCTGTGGTCCTGATTGCCCCTGAAAGATATTCTTCCTTTTATGGTATTTGAATAGTGCTGAAGCTTTACTTGCCGCTGTACTCTACCTGGCACAGGTGTTTGTGGCTGCAGGTGTAAAGAGTCCTCCTGTAGAGGTGATTCTGTGTCCTCGTCAGGATCTGCCGTCAGGATCTACCAGAAGCAAAGTTTCAGATCATGGTTAAGTCCTCTCTAAGGATCTAACAGTCCAAAGGAGTCTCCATACCTGTCGGACTGCAGCGAGGCTCGTCAGGGTTCCCAGGCTGCTGCTGTCGGTAATGACCATGGCTTGAGACAGCAGGCTGGACGAATGGTACTGAGGCGACTCAGACTTGTTATACACTGTCATGAGGGAGACATGAATGAATCTTTGCCTCCTGGGTGATGTTGAATTATTCTGTTGAGGCCTTACTGTGACATGGCAGCTGCGCCATGGTCGCCATGAACGGGCTGGCAGCCATGTGACCCTGAAGATGCTGGGGAAGGGCCTGCTGGTGGGATGCGTGAAGCTGCTGCTGGAATGAAATCGGCTGTAGAGTGGTGAAACCGGCCCCCATGTTGTTAATGACGGGGACGGTCTGTGACTGCGTAGGGGCCAAACCTGTGAAACATCGGGCATAGACCTCACTCTTAGAATTTTCTATTTTTCCTCCCAGCCAAGTAAAGAGAGTGAGTCCTGAGCTGGAACTACCTATTAGGAGGGAAGATTCACCCAGACTCATGACGCTGGGCACCGAGGCCATGATGAGGCTCTGTGAGGAGGCTGGGGAGGCTGAAAGACTGTGCAAGGATGTCAGAGTGCTTACTGGGGGCAGTGGTCCACTGCCAGACACCTGCATGGGGGAGAGGTTTGGTCATGGTGGTAGCATTAGTGGGTTGGTTCAACAGCAGGACACTTACCAGTTTGGGGTTATGAGACTCTAGGAGTGTATGGCTGGGTTCTAGTTGGACAGGACTGACCACAAGACGCCCCATGCGCTCCCCTACGCTGCTTCTTGCTGTGCTGCCTGTTTCGCAGGAGATTTGCTGGCTGTATTTCACACCTACAAAGGTAACACGAAAAAGAATTCAGGACAAAAAAACAGGCTGTAGATTTTCACACATCAGTGGTAGAACCGGTCCAACTATTTTTTAAGAAATCCGATGCTGGTGTAGATTCTCAGTCATCCAGGTCGTAGTCATAAAAAAAAAAAAAAAAAAGTTAAAAACAAAACCACTGGAAGTTTTTTTTCTCCAAGAAAAACATCAAAGACGTGCTTCAAACCTGTGGATACCCTAACTGGGCCTTTGTCCAATCAGCAAAGAAATCCAAAAGACATGCAGCAGAACATAACGATTGAGTGCAGAAACATCGCCATCCCATATGTTGCTGGAGTATCTAAAAAAATTAAAGAGAATTTTATCCAAACACAAAATCACAAAATCCCAGTATATTTCAAACCAAACAGGACCCTTAGACAGAGGCTAGTGCATCCTAAGAACAAAAGAACCAGACCTAAGATCAGCTGAGTGGTGTATGCAGCTTAATGCAGTGAGGAATGCTCTGATCTTTATATCGGAGAAACCAAACAACCTTTCCACAAATGCATGGCTCAACACAGGACTTTGTCCTCCAGACAAGACTCTGTTGTCCACCTGCACCTTAAGGACGAAGGACATTGTTTTGAAGACCAACATTTTCCCATTTTGGACAAAGAAGACTGGTGGTTTCAAAGAGGTGCGAAGGAAGCCATTTACATTAAGAGAGAAAAAACAACCTTAAACAAAGGGGGAAGACTCAGGTTTCAGCTCTAGAAAACCTATAAAGCAGCTTTGGAGTTGATTCCTTCCCACTATCTCCTCAATCCTCATCGCCACACAGATGTCCAAAACATCGCTCCTGCTATCCAGGCCAATAACGACTCCAACAACTCCCCATTACAGATACCTGGACCAGTTTCGGTTTAACTGGCAGGCCAACAACGACCTTAACGACTCCCTATTACAAGGGATGATGCTGCTTTAGTTCAGTTTGCATGCTTTCTAAGCCATAACAAGGCTTTTGTAGGGCAATTACATAAAGCCTGGAGCTCCACATTACCCCAAACATTTTGAATTGAGACACTTTCTGGATAGGAAGCGAAACATCTTCAAACTTGGAGAAAATAAAAACTCCAGTGATTTTGAGACCATCTTGGTCTCAATCTTAAAGGAACTGCCTTCTGTTTTTACTTTGTGTCTTCCAAGTATTGACATGTGAAGTTGCATAAGCAGGTTGGATAATTACCGTGCTCAGGACTTGGAGCAAGATTTGCATTAGAGGATGAAGCTGACTGGCTGTTGAAAGACGTGTCGAGTGCCAGCTTGTGACGAAACGCCTCCTCTTTGCGCCGGTTGGCAAACCAGTTGTAGACTCGGACTTCAGTAACCAGGTTTGATCCCAGACCAGCGAGCTGGGAGGGAGATACTCCCCTCTGGAGACACTCCGCTCTGAAACATTAGGAACAAACTCAAAGATCACTCCTCAACAACTGGAACTGACTAAATAAAATAAAGTACTGGGCATTATGTTCTTGGTCCTTGATGCTTACTTTGACCCCCTTAAATAGATATGAATAATGCAATCTGAAAATGCCTAACCCCAAATCTATTGCCATTACAACCTAGACCACGTCAATTGGGCTAAAGTCTTTTTCTTGACACTTCCTAATGCTGCTAAAATTTCCCAAAATGTTCTCCTGCTGCTTGATATACTGCATCCAAACCATTAAGAGGTCCTATAAAAAAGACACAAGCTGTGTTATTTGCTTCCCCTCTGTGGTCATAATGTAAGCCCATATTGCCCTTTAACTGCATGAAAGTAAGATCTTGTCTCACCTGTTGCATTCCTCCACCAACCCTTCTCTTTCATCCTTGCTTGGGTTCTTCTGACGCTCGTAGGCATTGAAGAGGATCTGTAGGGATGCCGGACCCCACTTGAACCTGTTCCTGCGTCCTTTCTTGGTTTCCTCTCCATGGTCCTCCACTGGTGCAAGACCATGTTTAGCATTGGTAAATTCTAGATAGAGCAGATGACATCTCTCACTAATTACATCTTCTGTTGTTCTTGGGTTAGGTTTGGATTTAAATAAAGCATGGCTTGCACCCCTCTGCAGCTGTTGTACTTACGCTGGCTGATCTCGCACTGCTTCTTGACGTACCAGCTGTACAGAGCAGCTCTCTTCTGGTTTTTCATGGGTGTGCCTTTATTGAGGTGCTGGGAGAGGTGGGACTGATTGAGACCTGTAGACTCTACCACCTCCCTCTGAGGTAGGTTGTGTTGCTGCATGTAGCTTTTCACAATTTTTGCAACCTGCCAGGGGTCCTCTCTGTTCAGCAGAAATAAAAAAAATAAATAAAAAACAATTCGAAAAATTAAAAACTCTCCGTTACAAAATTTTGGAGGTGATTTCGGAAATTTATTTTGATCCAAGAAAAGTCAACTGGGCTAATACCCGAAGTCATTTTTATCTGTCGATTGATTTGCCTGTTTAAAATGTAGGATGGTAGAGCTTAGAAAATTTAGAGGATGTTTTAGACTCTGTTGGTTTTATTCTTGTAAAACCAACAAACAAAAAGAGTTCGAAATGTATTTTTTAACAAGTGTCTTTGATGTTTGAATGCAGAATAAAAGTTGAAGCTTTGCGGATTGTAGTTTGACATTCAAGCATCAAATAAGAATGCAACACTGAAATTATTCTTCCTAAAAACATTTGAGGATCCCAGAAAAAGGCATTTAACATGAGAGCTAATATATACCAATATTCATGGGCTGTCTTCTATGAGATTGCACAAGTACAACATGGAGATCTTCAAATACCGTCTCAGCTCTATTATCATAGATCAGGAGTCACTAACCTTTTTAAGGCAGACGGCTACTTCATGGGTACAGAGTCATAATAATTTAACTTTACTGATCTCACATTGGAGAAATTTACCTCTGCATTTAACTCATCCCCTTCAGTGGGCAGTGGGCTGCCATTGTGGCAATTGGGGGTTAAGGGTCTTGCTCAGAGACCCAGAGTGTCAGTGTGTGGGAGTGGGGTTCAAACTCAGAACCTCAGGATTCCAAGCCCTATATCCTAACCACTTGGCCACCACTCCCACTAGGGCTACCAATACTGAACTGGAGGGATCAGCATCCACCTTAAACTCATGCATAAAAAGCACATTTTTTATGTTTCTTTAATTTTCTTGTAGATATTGTCATTATGAAGTCTATAAAAGCTTAAATGCTCTATAAATGTTTAAAAAAGAACAGCAACAGAGTAAAATAACCAGTATCTCCCTCAGAAGACACTGCGGGAGCACCACACTGGTGACCCCTGTTGGTTCTTCCCTTTAATTAATCCTAAATGTAGTCAACAGAGCTCAGTTATGATGTGACAATGAAGAAAGGTTGATTTTTGCGTTTACTAAACTATTTCTCTGTTCATCTTTTAAATTCTGTTCAGATTTTTTACCCATTTTATTGATACTGAGAGTGAGAAAAGAAAGACCTGGATCTCTGCAGTGTGACCAAAGATGGAGGACAGTAGCAGGCTTTAACCCCTATATTTACATTTTTAACACCCAGTGAGTACTCTTTTTTTTTTTCCGCCAATGAGTTGATAAAAAGAATCTGTCGTAAAAATTGAGGACAGGGACATAAATAAAACTGCTAGCTACAGATGTTAGCTTTAAAGTAGCTAATACTCAGCTCATGTATTTTTGCTAATTTATTACACTTTCTATCATTTTTACATTACATTTTCTGTAAACAGAACCTATATTGTTCATATATTATACCAGTAATGCTCCTTATATTGTCCATTTTAAAATCTGTTGCTGCTGAAGTCTCTGTTATCCAGGTCATAGTCATTAAAAAAAAAAAAAAGTTAAAAAACAATCCACTGGACTTTGTTTCCAAGTTTGAAGATGTTTCTCTTCCCATCCAGGAAGCTTTTTCAATTCAAAATGTCAGAAATAGCGTTGAGTTTGAGGTTTTATAGAAGGGACCAAAAACAAAGCCTTGTTTTGGCCTAAAAAATGTGCAAATTGAACCGGAAAAACGGGTCCACTCCTTAGGAACCGGGGTTGTTTGAGTTATGAGTTAGTCTGCAATACCGATACCTGTCTATGTCTCGGAAACAGGGTTGTTAGAGGGAATTGTTGGCCTGGCTGAAACAGAAACAATTCCCTCAAATGACCGCCATTCTACAGGGGTGGACCCGATCGTCCGGTTCAATTTGCATGTTTTCTAACTCTATAAGACTTAAAAAATCCTTGAACTCAAAGCAGTTTCTGACATTTTGAATTGAAAATGTTTCCTGGATAGGAAGCCAAATGTCTTTAAACTTGGAAACAAAGTCCAGTGGATTGTTTTTTTTTTTTACTTTTTTGGGGAATTGAAAATCTGTTACTTAGATAAAATAGATCAACAGCCTCATAGGACCAGATTGTGAGACTCTATTCCTTCAACAAATGAAATCAGTATTTGCAAACAGCTCGAGTCTCATGTAACTATATGTCTGATATGAAAATATGTCTGATTATCTGCACATGTAACCACCTATAAGAAATGCAAATGTTTCCCATCAGTTTTTCTCCTCTCAGACTGTGTTTTTCCTTTAGCAGAGACCAAATGATTTTCACTTTTTATGTGTTGTCATCGTTGTGACCGCTACTAGTTTCTGTTGAAGTATTGAACAGGCCCAGGCAGTGACAACACTGGGCTTAATGTGAATCCACTCACAGGGAAGTAGCATACAGGCTTATTGACAGAGAGAGATAAGAGAGAGCACACTGGAGCAAAGTCCAGCTCTTTCAGACCACTGGAGGGGAAGAAACATGTAAAAGGTTTATGGGGCCTAATTTAACGTCCGGACTCTCAGTCTGAAAGCTGTAAAAATACACAATACCTCAAAAGACTCCACTAGAAGCAGAAAATACTCGAATGCAGGTTTAATTACGTTAAATGTTTTATGAATCACCTTCGAAATGGCGAGCCTTTTAAGGTTTTTATATATGGAGCGTGTCTGTAAAGAACGTTTCAGGTCCAAATCTGCTCTTAAAGGCACGCTCAGAAATATTGCTTAAGCGTTATGCAAACATAGTGTCCTGTTACCGGCCCCACTCCATTAATCTTCACCTACCTGTATGCATGGAGCTTATTTATTAAGAAATGGCAAGGGAATAATGATGGGGTGGGTAATTAGTAACTAGCAAAGGAGGAACCCTCTTTAAATTCGCCTCAGAAGCCAGATTGCAGAGAGAGAAACAGAGAAGCATGTGAAGGAGGTTGGATTTAGGAAAGAGAAGAACCGAGCCGAGGAAAAAGGTTTTAGACAGGAAAGGTTTCTGGTCAGACCTCTGAGGCTCCACAGGTGACGGGGAATCGAACTATCTTATGAGGATGTTCTCAATTTTTCCAAACTTAACCTGATTTGTTTAGGACCGAAAAACCTGCCGTGTGTCCAAAACGCTTTAGTCAGACATTAAGCTGGCTTCGCCGTTGCCATGGAATCTCCAGAAAACTTTGGGATGTACTCACTGCAGTAACCGGTCCACCTCGGCCCTCAGCTTGGACGCCTCGTCTGGAGGAAGCTTCTCAAACTCTCGGAATATAGGAGGAGGGAAATCCATCTCCCCCTCCTCGGAGCTCTCTCCATCCCCCTTCTCGGCCCCGGCACTGGCCCTGCTGCGCTCCAGCTCCCCCACGGCTTGGACCAGGACGTCCCGGGACAGTCCGGACTCCAGCAGGGCCCAGATGAGCTGCTCCTGAAGGGCGGTCAAACGGCTGGGCCTCGCCTCGGCCGCCCTCGCCCTCTCCTCTCCCTCCATTGGTCTTATCGCGCTGCTGCCTCACAAACAAACACCACTATGTGCTCTCCCTGCCACTCTCAAATAGCAGCCAGACGGCCTGCGCTGGGCCTCATGGTTTTTATACGTGCAGCCAGTCCTCAGATGACAAAAAGCAATACTTTCATTTTTCTCTGCTGAATTTCCTCCTGATACGTCCTCGGCTGCCTGGTTTTTGCTCTCCACCTGCTGTTTTCCTTTCAAAGGTCAATTTTCCTTTTTTTTCTTTTTACCGTCCTCCTTTTCACCCCCTCCTCCTTACACAGCGCCCTGTGAACTTTGTCCCCTCTCCCTCAGTCCCCAACAGTGACTAAAGTACAATTTAAAAACAATAACTAAGCATGAGCAAGGTTACATTTTCCGTTACCACTGCAGAAAAAGGAAATAAACGAGAAGTTGTGATTGCAGAGCACATCTTACCTTTAATCTAAAACTAATTTTTAGGACAAATAATCAAATTTGATTTATCTGTTTTCTTTATAGCATCACAGCTGCTTAAATTACTTAAAAAATATGATTAAAACATGAATTTGAAGTCATATCTTAGTGATTCAGAGCAGTGTAAATGACTGTAGAGCAGGTACAGCGTGATAAGTTAGATTTGCCAGTAGGGGTCGCTGTTGTGTCATGCATGGATTATTCTGACCTTGTTTAAGGTCATCAGCAAAGGAACTTTCACTTAATTCACTATTTCAGGTTTTTAAAAAACACCTAAACTGAGAATAGTTCCATATTTCATACATGAGCGTTTTATTGTATTAATATCAGTATAATTTGTCTAAATGTATAAAATTTAGCAGTTTAAAGTGGAGTTCAGAAAAGAGAAATTGAACCCCATAAGAAAAAATATTTATAGATTTTAAGAATTAGACTTAGAGAAACTTTATCAACATTTTGTATACACATGGTGTATTCAAAATGAAATTTCTTTTTGTGCGGCTCTCATGACATTTCCATTTCTTAAAGTGTAACAGTGATCAAATGAAAAAATGGTGATCAATTGTAAACATAAGACTTCAAGCTTTTTTTTCTCAGTTTTTTTAGTTTTAAATCATATTTTAGTAATATATAAACTGATAAAAATGTTGATTAATGATTAGAAACATTAAAAACCAAAAAATGTTGAGCATAATTTCAAGATTTTATAAAATAGGGAAACGCCAAATGTCTTCCATCAAGCACCTAATTTAAAATGTATGGATGGGATCTATATCTGCAAAATTGGAAGTTTTATTTCTTGGTCTGAAAGAAAATTACACAAAATGTAAACTGTTCTTAAAAGTGAGAAACCTAACTAGTTTGTGATGAAACTGTGTTTTATTGAATAGAAAATGTAGATTGACTCATTGAACTCACAGTATTTTCCCACCACATCTGGGTCTTTGAGTAAGACCAGAGTAATGGAACACAGATTCACATCGTGTCAAATGACAGGCAGGAACACTCTCAGGTTTGTATTACATTCATTGCATGCATTAGAAGTGTCAGTTAGACAAATCTCCCTGCATGTCTCTGTCTGTCCAGCCAATAGGGGCTGACCTCTTGTGCATATCAATGGCTGCTACTTTACCGTGACACCCAGAGGATTCAGCATGCGCTCCTGCGGTGTGGATCCGTAAGGTGAGATGCTGGTAATTTGACAGGATGCAGATCATCCACCAAGCTACTTTTGGCTCCAGGTCTGAATGCCGCCGCATAGTTTCTCTATTTGCACAAAGTCAACCTGTGTTCGATTATTCTGGTCTTTCTCAAGAAAAAATGCTGAATTTGGGGATTGAAATTAAATTATACAACTGAAAAGTGAAATGAATGAAACTGAATTTAACGGAAATAACATCAAATTTGAAGGTGAATTATGCAGTTTTAAGTCATACATTTTTATTCTGTTTCACATCTTTAAATACAGTTTCAGTTTAGTGAAGGTGACTTTTAAATCAACCCTTCCTACCTACTTTAACTTAAATTGTGCCAAAAAAGATTCCCTCACTGCATTTTAAATTCACTTTCTGACGGCACTAGTACAATATATGTATGTCTGTATAAATGTGTGTGTGTGTATATATATATGTATAAATGTGTGTATATATATATATATATATGTATATATGTGTATGTGTGTGTGTATATATATGTATATGTGTATATGTGTGTGTATGTGCATATATATATGTGTATGTGTGTGTGTATATATATGTATATGTGTATATGTGTGTGTATGTGCATATATATATGTGTATGTGTGTGTGTATATATATGTATATGTGTATATGTGTGTGTATGTGCATATATATATATATATGTGTGTATATATATATATATATATATATATATATATAGTGTGTGTGTATGTATATATATGTGTGTGTATATCTATATGTGTACATATGTATAAATGTGTTAGTATATATATATGTACATGTGTATATATGTGTGTGTATATGTATATATCTGTATATGTGTGTGTGTATATATATATATATATATGTAGATATGTATATATGTATCTGGTTTTACAAATTAAGGTGAAAACATTCTCCATTTTTACTCACCACCTTAGTTTATTCTCTGTAGAATAAACCAACAGTTTAGTTCCACTGAGCTTCCCTTGACCTCCTGAAGAACAGCATCCCCACAGCATGATGCTCCCCCTACCATGTTTGACCCTCAGATTAAATTTCACAATAGATAAGGTAGAAATAAGGGAATAGGTTGCACGGGATATTAGCCAGGGATGTCTGAATCAGAGCATATTAAAACACCTACCTCACTCTTTAGTGGTAGTAGTGCATTTAAAGGTTGTAGAGTTGATCTTAGATGCATCTTGCCTGCATTTAAATGCCTTTTAATTAAATTGTTTTCGTCTTCAATGTGTTTAAAGTTCAGTCTCATATCCATCATGAACATTGAGCAGCTTTAACTTCCTGCAGCATCAACAGGTAGAAACTCTTTGCTGTAACTGCTACACCAGGTTTCCCAGATTTATTTCACCTCACCTCGTCTTTTAATCCCCCCTCTTGTTGTTTTGTCTAAGAAGGTTGGCAGGGACCAGTTGTAGAGGGAACTGTAAAGCAGCCTAAATGGAATAAAAATCCTCTGAGAGGTAACGTGGCCTCTAATCTTCCCTCGCTCTTTTCAGTGTAAAACGCTCACTTTCTCCACCCGGGTCACATTATACCGCTCTCATGTTCAGCCTATCAGCACCTTTTTGTGTCCAGCTCTTGTTACCCCACCCCACCCTTGGGATGATGGCATTATACAGTATTTGGAAGGGTAACAGAGCTCCCTCTATCTCCCTGAGACATGCCACTGACCTGTAATTAAGACTCATTGTGCTGCTGAGAGGAAACTCCTCATGCAAACGGACAGAGGCCAGTGTGTGTGTGTGTGTGTGTTTCCAACAGCTCAGATACCGCGGTGACAAATGCTGCGCCGCACAGCCAGGTTTTATCGAAAAGGAGCACATGCAGCAGCACATTTCCCCTCTCCAAGAGAACTCAAAGCTGCGCTGATTGGTAATGAGACCCAATCCGCTGCGTCCATCTCTCATTAGAGAACCATTGCTGCCTCCAGCATTCAGCCCCATTGATCATGCATGCAGAAAACGAACACACCCCTTCATTCCTGCCTAAAACAAGTCTCTCTGTCCCACTTCCAGAGCTTCATCTGGACACTTGGCTCAATGAGGATGGAGCACAATCACAAACTTAAATCTGTCTGGACTCTGTGTTAATCCCTCTGAGAGCGCGGTGTCTCTGTAAGTTATGGGTGCATTGAGGAGACACAATCTGAACCTGTATTGTTTCTTTTGTAACAGCCCTGAAACAGGTGAAAGATCTCCTCCAAAGTTTCTTAAAAAAAAAAAAAAACTGGGCTTCACTAGGGGGGCAGCACCCACCGTAAGTCAAAGCTGTCATTGTCTTTGTAGGAGTCGGACGCGGCCATTGATCGGCTTTAACATTAGTTACCAGGTCACATGTTGAGTCAGTGTTGAGAAGATTAGCTGGAGCTGCTTTAGTAGCTACTAATTAAATGCTTAAACCCCAGCAATGAATGAGCACGCAGCACACAAACCTTCTGTTGTCCCAAACAGCATAAACCGGTTTGAAACGCAGAGGTGGAGGCATACTTGACTCTGAAATACATCCACCTGCAGAGATGTGGCTGGAGGACGTCTAGAGTCTAAACCTCAGATCAGGCTGGGAACCAACGATATCATGGGATAAATGTGTGAGAACTATGAGATGTTTCAAACTATTTAATCTGAATTATAAACTGAGATTAGTGTTTTTTGGTTCTCCTAATGTCTGAACATTAAATATCACTTTGAACTGGTTAAAACTCTATCACAGAGTCCAAACCTTTTAACTCTTTTTCTTACTTAGTGTTCATTCCATCCCAATAGTCAGCATCTGACTATATGAAAGGAAGTTGGGAAAGCTCCCCTTCAAAATAAAGGCCCTAATGCCTTGGCTTTAAAGTTTGGAACAAGAATAAAGAGTCATTCTTGGTATTATCAGAGGTGGGTAGATTACACAAAAACTTCAAGTAAGAGTAGAATTACTTTAAAAATTTTAAACAAGTAAAAGTAAGAAGAAGTGATCAAATAAATTAGAGTATTAAAGTATTTGGTTAAAAGAAAAATCTACTAAAGTACAAAGTAACTGTTAGATTATAACTTGAGTTAATGTGTTGAAATGATGCAGGCAGATAGATGTTATGTGTTGGTTTTGGTTATTTTAAAGACAATACTACATCTCTGCTTTTACAGATCTATTTATTTAAACATTAATATATAAAATCAATCCTTACAGGGAGAATAATTTTTATAGAACCGGGTAAAGAACTTCCTCTAACAATATCTACTGTTTACTGTATTTTCATCTGATATGAAGCCATAAATATTACTCAAGGAGGAGTAGAAATACTTCACAGGAATATTAATCAAGTAAGATGTATGGCGATAAAATAACTACCAATTCTTTTTTACAATTAGAGAAACAGAAATAAATATAACTAGTTAGTACATACCTCTGCTCATTATTTTATCAAAATGCACATTTAAAACCCAGATATAAGTTAAAGAAAAAGAGAATAGAAAAACAAGGATCCTTAGAGTAGATGATAGATAGATAGATAGATAGATAGATAGATAGATAGATAGATAGATAGATAGATAGATAGATAGATAGATAGATAGATAGATAGATAGA